CTAACCCTAACCCTAACCCTAACCCTAACCCTAACCCTAACCCTAACCCTAACCCTAACCCCTAACCCTAACCCTAACCCTAACCCTAACCCTAACCCTAACCCTAACCCTAACCCTAACCCTAACCCTAACCCTAACCCTAACCCTAACCCTAACCCTAACCCTAACCCTAACCTAACCCTAACCCTAACCCTAACCCTAACCCTAACCCTAACCCTAACCCTAACCCTAACCCTAACCCTAACCCTAACCCTAACCCTAACCCTAACCCTAACCCTAACCCTAACCCTAACCCTAACCCTAACCCTAACCCTAACCCTAACCCTAACCCTAACCCTAACCCTAACCCTAACCCGAACCCTAACCCTAACCCTAACCCTAACCCTAACCCGAACCCTAACCCTAACCCTAACCCTAACCCTAACCCTAACCCTAACCCGAACCCTAACCCTAACCCTAACCCTAACCCGAACCCGAACCCGAACCCGAACCCGAACCCGAACCCTAACCCTATTCTATTAGATTTTAAAAATATTTTAAATTTTTTAAAAAGATTTTTATTCACGAGAGATACACAGAGAGAGGCAGAGACAGAGGGAGAAGCAGCCTCCGTGCACGGAGCCTGCTGTGGGACTTGATCTTGGGACTCCGGGATCACACCCTGAGCCAAAGGCAGATGCCCAACTGCTGAGCCACCCAGGCGTCCCAAAAATTATTTCAAAATTTTATTTTAAATGGGCTTCACACTCAGTGTGGAGCCTAATGCAAGGTTTAACCTCACAACCCTCATATTAAGACCTGAGCTGAGATCAAGAGTTGGACACTTAAGTAGCTGAGCCAACCAGGTCCCCCTCTTATTTGACTTTTAATTTCTATTCTCTTTTCCCCCCAGAATTGTCACAGTTATCTTATTAACTGAAGTTCATTTTGTGTCTAGTTCCCCTCTGTTCTAGCTTTGCCGCTCCAAGGTCCTGTGTGTGGCACCACATGACATGTGGTCATCATATCTCTTCAGACTCTTCTTGGCTCTGACAATTTCTGAGATTCTCCTTGTTTCAGTGACCTTGACAGTGTTGAGGAGGAAATGGTCAGATGTTTCATAGATTTAGCTCCACGTCTGTGATGGATGGCTGAGTGTCTACATCAGGCATTTGGAATTGTGCGTTGTTTTCTACTCATTACAAAAGAAAAGTCTATGTAATACGTTATCTTTACCAGTGTGAACACCTGGTAGTTATTTTAGGCTTTGGTTTCATTTCACCAGTAGAGTGTTCGATCAATTTATTCCTGCTGTGGCTCTTTCTGTTGTCTCCTGTTTCCTTTGACATAATTTCAACTTGGTGGGATTCTCATTATTGGTATTCACTCACTTTCTGATACTTCAGGATTATCCTGGCTCCTGTATTCATTATCTTAGTTCCTAGTGCCAGCCGTCTCTTCCAAAAGCCCTTTTTATAGAGAATTGTATAAAAAAACTTGTATACCATGGGAACTAAATCTGCTCAGATGACAATGTAAGGAAATATATGCATGTCTTCCAGCCTATGTCTACACTCCTAATTTTAGAGATTTTAAAGAAAGATTTTATTTATTCTTTCATGAGAGACACACAGAGAGAAGCAGAGACATAGGCAGAGGGAGAAGCAGGTTTCATGCAGGGAGCCCGATGTGGGACTCGATCCCGAGACTCCAGGATCACGCCCTGAGCCAAAGACAGACACTCAATCGCTGAGCCACCCAGGTGTCCTGCAGGACCAATCCTTACATTGATTTTCTTTGAGGGTGTGATAACATATATAACAAAGTTTTCCTCTCATTAATTTTTATTTTTAATTATGGTAAAATAAACATAACAAAATTTACCATTTTCAACATTTTTTAAATTTTTATTTATTTATTCAACAGAGACACAGAGAGAGAGGCAGAGATAGAGACAGAGGGAGAAGCAGGCTCCCTGCAAGGAGCCTGATATGGGGCTCGATCCCAGGACCCCGGGGATCACGCCCTGAGCCAAAGGCAGACAGACGCTCAACAACTGAGCCACCCAGACGTCCCATTTTCAACATTTTTAAGTGAATATTCACATTGATGTGTAACCCTCACCAGTATTTTTTCTCAACTCCATCCACAGAGCATGATAATTTCAATTTTTTTCACATCCATTTTTTTAGATAACAGCCATTCCCTGGGTGTGAAGTGGCATCTCACTGTGGTTTTCATTTTCATTTCCCTGATGTATAAGGATGTTAAGCATCTTTTCATGTGTTTGTTGGGTTTGGATTAGGCCAAGATTTGTTGTATATGACACCAAATAACATTCAGAATTTAAGAAAATGTTTGGAAATGGAATATCTGATATGACTTTGATATCAGAATATATAAAGAGCTCCTACAACTCTACACCACAAGGACAAGCAATCCAATTAAAAAATAGGCAAAGGACTTGAACAGGATTTTCTCCCAAGAAGACACACAAGAAGCCCACGAAAAGATGTTCAACATAACCAACCATCAGGAAAATGTAAATCAAAATCACACTGAGGTACCACTTTATACCCATCAGAACGGTGATTTAAGGGATGCCTGGCTGGCTTAGTTGGAATAGCATGTGACTCCTTTTTTTTTTCTCTAGGATTTTTTATTTTAGAGAGAGTTAGACTGGATGAGAGGAACAGAGGGAGAGGGAGAGAGAATCCCAAACACATGCCATACCGAGTGCTGAGTCCTACATGGGGCTCGATTGCATGACCCCAAGATCATGACCTGAACAGAAACCAAGAGTTGGACACTTCAAATCGAGTCCCAAGCATGGGACTCTCGATCTCAGGGTCGTGAGTCAAGCCCCACATTGGATGCAGAGATTATTTAAATTAAGAAACTTAAAAAACATTTTTTTAAAGGACACTAACAACAGTTGGTGAGGATGTGGAGAAATTGTAACCTGAGTACATCATTGATGTAAAATGCTGAAGTCACTGTGGAGAACAGCTTGGCAGTTCCTCAAAAATTCTAAACATAGAGTTACCATATGATTTAGCAATTCCGTTCCTAGGAATATACACAGAAACTTAGAAAACAGGTACTGAAACAACTTTTACATGAATGTTCACAGCAGTGCTGCTCACAACAGGTAACAGCCCAAGGGTCGAGCAGAATGGCTAGGTGCGGTCCCTCCACACAATGGAATACCATCGAGTCACAGTAAGGGTTGAGGCACTGATACTGCAAAGTGGGCGAACCTTGAAAACACTATGCTGAGAAAAAAGGCCGTGGAAAAAGTCATGTATCGTATAACTCCATTTCTACAAAATGCCCAGAAGAGGCAAATCTATGGAGACGGGGAGCAGGCAAGGGCCTTCAGAGGGCCCGAGGAGGGCCCGGGGGGAGCGACTGCTTAACGGGAAGGGGATTTCCTGTGGGAGTGACAATGGTCAGACAACATCACCATGTACTGAATGTCACTGAACTGTACACTTTGAAAGAGGGTTAAATTATGTGGATTTCACCACACTGAAAAAGAAAGAAAGAGGGGCGCCTGGCTGGCTCAGTTGGTGGAGCATGCAAGTCTTGATCTTAGGGATGTGGGTTCAGCCCCCACGTTAAGGGGAGAGATGGCTTAAAAATTCAAAAAAAATCTTAAAAACAAACCAAGAGAAACCGTTGGACATCCTCCCCCGTCAGGGAGATTCCCCTTCCCTCGCTGCCCTCAGTCTGGCCTTCCAGGCCTTCCATGGTCCAGCCAGCCACGTGTGGGGCCCTCGAGCTCCAGCAGCATCATGCACCCAACTCCCTGGAAACAGCAGCCGCATCAAGGACTGGGGTTCCCAGTCGCTGGCTCTCTGACTCCTTCAGAACCTGGTGCTCAGCAACTTCCTCCTCCCAAGATCTCCCAACCTGGCTCTGCTGTGAATTGGATCTCAGAGCACACAATGTCCAAGGGTCATCTCATCTCCAAAGGGGGAAGCCAGAGTTTTCTGGGCACAGAGGTGTGCAGGCGACTTGCTCAGGGGAACTCAGAGCAACGTGGCCAAAGGGGCAAGCATGGCTCACCTCCCATCACGCAGCCTCCAAGGGGTGCATGTTCAAGCTCCAGCCCAAAGTTGGGTCTCTGCATGTTACCGAGAGAAAATGTGATTCACAGGGTCTCCGGCCACGCAGAACAGGCGTCCCAGCTGTGGGTGGTCACTCGTCACATGCAGGTTCCCTGGGTAGCCACGAGGGCCACACAGTTGCTGCTCTGATACCAGCCCAGGGGTCAGCTCCAGGAGGTAGATTCAAGCTATTTTTTTAAATACTTGGTTAGAACTAAAGATGTCTGCACCTCACTTCCGTCCACACCCTTCCTGCTCTCTACATGCTAAAAATACATTCTGGGTCCTGTTTCACCCCTACTGACCACAGTCTGGCTCCTCTGAGGCTCCCCATAAACCCCCAGGGGCGCCACTGGCATGCAAAGGGGAGGGGGAAGCCTATCTGAGGCAGAGAGGGCCTGTGCCTTTGGAAGCCTAGGGCTGCAAGTGCTTTCTTCTGCATGGACCACAGGGGTCACCAGATCCCCAGGGGCAGGCACCTCCACCTCCACTTGACCCTACGTGTAAAACCTCAGCACCTCCAACCCCAGAGAGCCTGAGAATAGACTGACCCCATCCCTTTGTGCTCCTCTGGCCCCTCTCCCAGCCAGCAGCAGTTTGAAAGACCCACTGGACCCCTTCTAATCTCAGGAGGAGAGGGACCTCAGGAAGGCACAGAAAGAGGTCATAGCACCTCCCTTGCGTCTGCTGGGTGTAGGCAGACCCTTTAAGGGGGTGAGGGCAGAACAGGCTGTGGGCCCACACCCATCTTTTCTGAGGGGTCCGAGTGAAGCCAGAAAGCAGGGAGGGAAGTGGTGGGCCAGGGTGTGGGTGCTGAGTGGCAGGATGCTGAGGGGAGGGGAGGGGAGGGAGGAAGGGGTCACCTGCTGGCCTCTGTCCAGACAGGATGTCTGTGCAGAGGCTCCATTCTCAGAGAGACTTTGGTCCATTTTCCACAAAATGGACATTATGCAGCTGGCCAAGTCGGGGCTCTAGATCACACCCGGTGACTGCAGAGGGTAGGAGCGAGGCCAACACCCTGAGGTCCTCATGCAACCCATTCAGCAGGGTCTTTCCTCTCACCATGACCCACTCCCACACAGGTACTTCCTCGCCAGGCATCCAGGCTATGCTGGTCACCAGAAAGGCCATGGGCCAAAGCCGGGCTGGGCCCAGAGCTCCGTGTGCTTCCTGGGAAGGTAGAGGGTTAGCAGCCCCCAGAGCAGCCCAGTCACCACTGTTGCCCTCTGACTGTGGGGGAGCTGGCATGGGGGAGGTGCTCGCAGGGACCCAGTCCTCCTGCAGCAGGTAGGCAGGCAGCTGCCCTCCATGTAGCACATGCCCTGCTCCCAGCACAGCCCCTGGGAAGCCGGCACCAGGGCCCTCCTCCTCATCCTCTGGGACCACTGACTGCCAGGGATCCACTGGGTCATAGGTCAGCCACGCAATGACCTCCTGGACACTGGACTCCGAGGCTCCTTGTGGGGAACTGACAGGGTCTGGGCTCAGCAGCAGGCCAGTTATGTGGACCCCGATCCAGGTCTAGTACAGAGAGCATGGGGTGGGGGTAGGGGAAGGGCTCAGGCTGCATGTTCAGGACTCTCTCTGGAAGCAGAGAAGAGGAAGGACTCCTGAGAGTCCTTCCCTCCTCCTCCAAGAAGCTTTCCTGAAATCCTCGCCCAGAGTCCAAACAGTGACTGTGCTCGGAACATTCTATCTTACCCCCACGTGCCAGCCTATCAGTAGCCCAGGACCCTCAGTAATCCCCCACCTCACCACATGGTGCTCACAGCAGCCCGAAACAGGGTACAGGTAGTGACAGGTGCCAAGGACAGAGAAAGTCCCTGGCTGCTGCTTCAGCTGCTTCCATGGGCTACAGAGACTGTGCCCCTCTCCTGGACCCCCCACCCACACACTCACACAGAGACGCTGTCGGGAATGTCACCTTTGGGTTGAGGGCAGCAGACCTGTACCCCTCCGTGGGGCCACAAGAGGCACCCCCACCTCCTAAAGGGAAGTATTTCCTAGGTGAGACCAGGAACCACAACCAAATGGACCACACATACCTTGCCCTCTGTTACTGCCATGCTCCCTGGAGAGCTGACCCATGGCTCCAGACCACCCCCACGCCCACCCCACCCCTGAGGGGTCTAAATAACTTGGCAGGTGAATGGGTCTCCAAAGGAGGGCTGGGTGCGTGTAGCCCAGATGACCTCAGGGGTCCGGCCACTACCTGAGAGAAGGAGGTGGCCTCCACCAAAGACAAGATGCTCCGTGCTTTAAGTCTCGAGTTATACTTTTGTACAACAATCCAAAACTGAAAATTGGACTCGCTTTCTAAATTTTTTTCTGGGCTCCCTTTTTAGAGAGACAATGATGAGGCAGAGGGAAGCCCAGCAATGGCAGGGGGATCGGGGAAGAGCAGGCCCAAGAACCCCAGGAAGCATCACATGCCATCCTCCACCCGCAGTGGGGAACTTGAAACCACCTGCTGGAGCCCAGAGGGCAAGAGCCCCCAGGCCAGAGGGAACTGGAGGGGTCTGATGTGAAGACCCCGCTGGTGGTGCTCACCAGGGCACTACAAAGGGGGTATGTGGAGTGTGCTCAGTGGCCAGGGTGCCAGCACGCTACCCAGGGGAACAAGGAAGGGCCAGGAGCTCCATAGCAACCACCAGAGCAGTAGCCCACAGACCACCGAGGGCCCCAAGGACAGCACCAGCACCAGACCCTCCCCACAGACATCTTCAAAGAAGCAGGCACAAGACACATGGCAGCTGCAAGACACCACCATAGTCTGCACCACAAAATGACCATCTACCTTTCAGGGGCTGCTCCCTCCAAAACAAAAAGAAACCCGCAATAGAGAATACAGCTAATTGTTTTGATGCATTTGAGACACAGTGTGTAAATTTAAACCCACTATGTATACCAAAAGAAGCTCAAAGCACTGACAAAGGCCCCCACACTAGCCCCCGCTCTCATCGAAGCCCACATTCTGGTCAGGCCAGACCTGTAGGTGACCCCAGCCCCACTCCCACTCCTGCCACGGGCTGTGCATGTACCTGGAAGTCGCCATGGTGCACACTAGCGGGACTGGAAGAATGGCGCCAGAGAGGGTACGTTCTGGTAGAAGCTTCTCTTCATCCTGAGGCCAGGAGAGGACAGCTGGAGGCCTACGCACACCCAAGGGGTTGGGGGAGGGGGGTCCTCGGAGGCCCCAGTTCCAGCAGGCCTGAGGTCTCGTGGGAGCTTCACTCCCTTCCAGCCAGAGGCAGCCCTGCCTCATCTGTGCTGCTGCCTCTCTCGCCTCTAGCTGGGGGCAGACCTGCTCTCAGGGCAAGACCCAGCACGTGCCCGTGCAGCCTCCTGGGCTGATGACCCCGTAGGGCTCCTTACACCAAGACACGTGTCCTTTACAGGGTGAGCTGCGATAGTGGGTTTAAGGCCACAGGGAGAGCCCTCGCGTGCTCCTCCCTAGCAGCCAGGAGGCAGCTCACTGCCCCACCTGACTCCTCCCTGAGCAACAGACCCACTGGCCCCCCACAAAGATGTGGCTCAGGACTCTGACATAGCAAGTCCACATCAGCCTCCCCAGCCTCAGTTCCCCACACCTCAGGGGTCCACGGGTCACAGCTCATCTGCCCCATCGGCTTCTCTTCCTAAGGCCTGCCAATTCCCTCCACATGGCTCCCTCTCTACTTCTCCTGCTGGCTCCAAGCAAATCGACACCCTCTGGACACCACCAAGGCCTCCAGGTGGGTCCTCCCCCCACTCAAATCTATTCTCAAAATACAAACCAGGCCTTGTCACATAGTTTCACGTGGTTCAAGAGCTTTCCTGTGCTCCCAGGTCAAGTCCGGCCACCACAGCCCACCCAGCCATCTCCTTCCCCACCCCCCACCCACTCCCCCACAACACCCCACTCTATTGTTCCCACTTCCTCGCATCCTTTCTGCTGCCAGTCCACACCCAGTCCATCTCCTACGGGCCCCCTCCTATGACCTGACAGGGATGATGGTTGCCAACGGGGCCATGCCTGTTTTGTTCTCTGGGGCATTCACCAGGACTCTGAGCACAGCAGATTCCCAAGACTGCATTTTTGTGGAAAGCGTTTAAACATGAGCAAACCACAGAGCACCTCCAAAGGCCAGATATGAGGATCTTGGGTGGCTTGGGCCCGATGAATTTGGATTCTTCTGGGCCTCTTTGGAGCCATAGGGCCCCCAACACACCCATCAACTGGGGAACTCTCCACGGGTCCAGGGCAAAGGCTTCAAAACCAACGCCCCATCCAGGACCAGACGGTGGGGAGTGATGACCGGTCTGGCCCGAGATGCCCCACCTACCACACACCTAAACACGCACACACTGACTCACATCTGCACACATGAACATGCACACAGAAACTCACACAGAGACATGCTAGCACAATAGCACGTGTGCACACAGACACACACACACCCTGGCTACCAACCTGGGTGAAAGCCTGAACACTGCGAGGTAGGTCAGGCTGGTCAGCAGCAGAAAGACGGGCACAGCAACAAGGGTGCTGCTGTTGGGCTATCCCCGAAGCAAGAACAGGTGAGAACCTACGGGAAGGAAGGGCCCAGGGCTGTGAACCTCTGTGGCACCAGGATGTTCCTCCAAATACACACGGCAAAGCACCCCTAGGAGTGCCCTGGGCCACACTGGAAATTTGCTCATAGGCCACAGGGATTGTGTCATGCCTGCTAATGAATCGCCCACCCCTGGCCCTCACCTCTTACGCCTGCAAGGTCATCAGGGTCAGACCCCTTCCCACCAGTTCACAGGGGTCAGCCCTGCCCTCCCTCAGGACAGGGACAATGTCCAGGCTCCAGAGACAGAAGCACAGGCCTGGTGTGCCACCTGGGGCCACACTCACACCAGTGACAGACAACAACCACAGGTTCTGAGAGGCCCAACATTTAGCAGGTGGTTGTTTCCTCCTTAAAACTCTCCTGTTTCCAGGGGAGGGTGGTCAGCTGGGGCATGACTGCCTCAGGGATGGGGTTCCAAGAGGGTGAGAGGGTGGGACGGTACGATGCATGAGTGAGGGGAGTCCCTCTAGGAGGGAGACCCCCACCTTGAACAGGGCTCTGAGGAGATGGGAAGCACACAGACTAGCTCCATTCGCTCCACTGGCCCTCATGGTGCTGCTCCTGCACCATTTCCTCCTTCAGTGTGGCCATCTGGACACGCAGCCTGGCCTCATAGCTGGAGCCAGGGTCCAGTTCTATAGCTTCAAGGGTGAGCCAGGTCACCCCGACAATGTGATCCCTGTGCCGGGCCTGCTGTGAGGCAGAGAACAGTTAGCAGGCGGTGAGGGTGAGACAGGGTCCACTGACCCTCAAGAGCCCACACGCACACATATACATGACTGAGCACCCGCACGTGGGCACAGGTACACATGCACAGCACACGGGCCTACATGCACTTAATGCAGGTGCACTGAGCTGCTGCTCCCAGGAGAGAGAGTCAGCCCAGCATTACCTCCCAGGCCTCTTCCTGTTTCTTGAAGGCCAACTCGTAGCTGAGGATGGTGGCCAGAGGCTCCAAGGCAGGACTGACGCCCCAGGTCAGGACACAGGACCCAGAGCTGACATTGCTCTGTAAGTCCGAGGGAGGGTCCAACTTCCCTGAAACACAGTGAGGCTACATGAGGGCATGTCTGTCAGGATGCCCAGAACTGGGAGGTCTGAAAGATGCTGGGATGGGGGGACATGGTCAAAGCCCTCCCCTCCCAGATCAGGGGCCTCCCTGGGAGGCAGGTCTCCTAGGGAGGGCCCAGGTGCAACACGAAGACAGGGAGTTCCTCCAGCCCCTGCAGCCAGAGAAGGTGATTTCAAATCTTGCCCGCATCTTCCTTCACAAGCTGCTATGGCAGTGCCGGCCGGTGTCTTACTGGAGTCCCTCCTGCTATGACGGAAGTGCATTTCAAGTGACTCAAGTTGTACCCTTGCCCCAAACCTGAAGCACTAAATCTTCATCCTCCTCCAAAGCCCTGCCTCTCCGGTAAGCAGTGGGCTCTTGCCCTCCCAGGGGCCCAGCCTGCTCCCAGCCCTGGGCCTCTCTTAGCAGGGACGGAGAACATTCACTGGGCCATGGAGGTTAAGGGCAATGGGATCTTGCCTCCCAATCCCCTTGAAGCCTCAGATGTTCCCTGTCCAGGTACCCCAGCCCAGGCCTCACTGTGTCTCCAGGGCAGGTACTGTGGGTCCACCAAGCTGACCTGCTCCTTCCCAGACACGTAATGGTGGAAAGTGATGGTGAAGTTGTCGGGAGGCACGAGCACCTCCTCAGGTGGCAGCACCACAGCACACTCGCTGGCCCGGAAGACACATCTATGCTTGCTGCCCAGCCTGTGGTTGCTGTAAAGGGAGTAGGTCGGCATCAAGGGCTCACCACACCAGCCCAGCCCTGCTGCTGCCCTCACAGGGATCCCACCATCATGGCCTTCATGGAGCCTATCCCTTCAGACTCACCTGGTAAAGAGGAGCCAGGGACTGGGGCCCTGACCCAGCTCTGGGGCAGACCAGTGGCAGTCAATCCTTAGGACATTGTTCTTGAGGCAGGTGAAAGATCCAGCCTCGAGCCCTGGGAACAGTAATGGCTTGGAGCCCCACCCCCGTGGCTGCCTCAGGGCAGGATTAGGGCCTGGCAGCTGACACTCTGACAAGGAAGTCCCCTGAGAATGATCCCAAAAGACGGCATCACGGGCACGGCTGGGAGGTGATGGGCTCTGACCCCCAGCGCATGGGCAGAATGAAGTCCATGCGGGTCCCTGAGGACATGCCCAGCACCCTTCCTGCCAAACCCTTCCCTGTGGGGTGAGAGATGGCAGCCCTGTCTCTCAAGCTCTCCACCAACCCACCTCACACAGACACTGGTGCCAGCCCTCACCTCCTCCTTCCCTGTGGATGGAGACTCCAGGCCCGACCCAGGTGCAGATCAGGAGCCAGGTGCTCCACTCTGGCAGCAGGGCCTCTCTCTCCAGGGACCAGTCTGCAAAGGACTGGGCTGAGAGCGCTCCCCACGGGATGCTCCCCATGAGACCCACCCGAGGGCTGCTCCCCGTGGGGCATGCTCCTGGCCGCGAGCTCTGAGTGGGTCACCACCTGTACCGTCACCACGGGCCGTGCAGAGATGGGGCACCACCTGCTCAGCTGTGCTCCTGAGACACTGATGCTCCAAAACACCTGCTGGCCACAGCGCAGACTCATGGCCACTGACTGCCCTCAAACCCACTTCTCCTGAAGGGTTCTGGACTCTGAGCCCGCTGTGTGTCTGAGTGTGCCTAGAAGCATCCTATCTGGCATGGGCACCCCCTCCCGGCACAGCCCCCGTCGCTATCACACAGGGCACCTGGGGTCAGGGTGACCTTGTGCCCCAGTGCAGCACACATCAAACACTTGAGTCCCCCTAGCAGCCCCGCGAGGTAGACACACTGTCCCTACTTACAAACAAGCGAGTCCCAGGGAGGGGAAAGCCTTGCCCCAGGTCACGCGGCCAACATCTGCACATGCCCTCCCCTGCTGGACCCGCAAATAAAGACCTACTCTGGTGTTCTGATCTAGGACTACGTGGAGGGTGGCAGTGCAGAGGCTGTGCGCTGCCCCTCTGTCAGCTCGGCTGGCCGCACCCCTGTTCTGAGCTACCCGCCCTACAAAGGAGAGCACCTCAGAAGAGGGGGGGGGTCCACCTGGGCAACAGAATCCCTGGGGGGATGGGAGCTTAGCTGGGGACAGGGGCTGCTGCTAGGAAGCGCTTGGGTGCAGGGAGGCTGCTGACGTCCTATCACCCCATTTGTAGCTCCAGATGGTGCGCTGATAGTTCCTAAGCAGGAAGCAGGGCCATCCTGGTTATGCAAGCCTGATGGCTGATAAGGAGGCAAAAAAGCAGCAGATGCACTCACAGACCACAGCACGTAAGCCCTCCAGGAGCCTGCACATGCTCAGGCAGCAGATGCCAAGTCAACAGCCCAGGAGACTGTCCAGGTGCCCACAGGACAGACCCCTGTTAAGATCCATGCTCAGGAAGACTGCACCCCCATCACTTGGCACCAGCAGCCACAGCACGGGAGGCTGTAGCGAGCTTACCCCAACAGCATCTGTCCCCTCCTGTGCAGGGACAGGGTGGAGATGGGGGAGCAGCCTACAACAGCCCACAGTCAGGATGGTGATGACAGGATCAGATTGAACACCGAGATTTGGGGGGTGTGAGGCACAGCAGCCACTGTCCAGCTGAGAGCTGACCCAGGCTCTAGGTGGAGGGACCCCTCTGTCTGTGCATAAGTGGGCCAGCCCTGCCACAGGCCAATAGAGGAGCAGATGGTTTGAGAGCATGGGGTGGGGGAGCGGGGGTTGCAAGCACTGCAGACCCCAGGGCAGGGACAGCTGAGAGCTACCAGTGTCAGGACCCACTCTGGGCGAGCAGCAGAGACCTACATGGTGGGATGGTCCCTGCTTGTCCTCTGATAACTCTTTCCACAGAGAACGCTTCTGTCTACAAAGCGAGCTGGGCAGGGTGGGGCTGCCACCCTCTGAGAGGAGAAGCCAAGACCAAGGAGAGCAGCAACTCTTTCCCAACACCTGGCACCTCTATTCTCGGCACATGTTCAACTAGTGTCCACACAAGCCTGGGAGCTGCCTACCTTGTCCAGGGCACACACCACTGCTCTGCCTCCCCTTGGGGCTACCCACACATTTGACTACAGACACTGGGCCAGGCATTGTAGAAACCCCATCTGCACGCTCCCCGGTCCTGGAACAGACAGTGGGAGGACACCGGGAGATCTAGTCACAGCTCAGACGACACGAGACAATCTTGCAGGATGGCTGTCAGAGCAGGAGAAGGGAAGCCAGTATCTCCCCGTCAGGACAGTCCTGCTGGGGAGCACAGCTGATGCCACCATCTGGCACTGCCCTTGTCCCATCAGGTCGACACTGCCTTCAGCCCATGAGCACTCTGCTGCTTTCTCAGGACCCATCTCCTCTATGACCTCAGGGCAAAGGTCCAGCCCATGAGGTCTGACTGCTGGGGCCTCACAGCTTTCCTACCCTGGTTTCCTGGCCCACCATGAAGTCAGGGACCCCTGCCTCAGAATCCACACACACTGTCAGACCCAGGGGCAGGTCTCCAGACAGACACAGCCCCTCACCCACCCTGGCCCCCAGGGGAATCCCGCCAGGGCAGGGTGCCTTGTGACACAACCTCCCAAGTTGGCTTCACCTGATCCACTTACTGTCCCCTTTTACACAGACTACATTTTTAATGGAGTGATATCCCTGTCATTCTGTGTACCCACTCAGAAAGCTGGCAGACATAGAGGAATGGAGGTTGCTATATCAGTGGACATTTATTTAGCACTTTATTCCCTCTTCTGGGGAAAGAGGAAGCAATTCAAACCATCACGTATTTGGGTCTTGGGAGGTGCATGTCTGGGAGCCATGGCAACACCAAGCTGGAGCTGTGGAGACAGACAAGACAGACAAGCTGAGGTGGGCCTCTGGTGGGCATGGACAGGGGGAGGGACCTAGGGCAGAAGGAAGAAGGGAGCCAAGGATGGAAGTCTGAGGGGCACAGGCGGACAGGGGCCAGTGGAACTCACTCTGGGTCCCCTGCTGGCCTAACCTACCTCACACTATCCCTCCTGCCTGACTTCCTTTAGCATCGGGTGCCTCTTCCTTCACGAAGCTCTCTCTGGCCAGACCAGACACCCCAGGCGAGGCCAGTCAGCTCATGACAGGAGCAGGGAAGCAGGTAGTGCTGGGGGAAAGGTCTAGAGTAAGGGTATTGACACAGTTCTGGGGGACCTGGAGGCTAAAAGGAGGAAAATGATGCACCTGCTCTTACCACAGGTCAGTGTTAACTGGCCTTCTCTGCCCTGAAATGTCCTCATAGCTCCTTTGTAGGCACGTCAGCAAAGCTCATAACTATGCTGCCTCTTTATACAAGGCTCTTCCAGAGGGAGACCTGTCTGATTTACATTGTGCCCCAACAGGGTAAGAAATGATGACCTTGCCTCTAGATAGTGTTAATGCTTCAGACCCCTGGGAAGAGCGCTCTGGGACATGACTTAAGCACGAACCCTCATATCCCCTTCTTCTGCTTGGCCAAGTTGACCTTCCTTCTGGGATCCCACCGTCACCTGCTGCCTATCCACAGCCCCAAGGGGAGATCCCCAGACTCTGGCTCCTCTTCTGCCCGAAGGCCCCCCTCCCAGGACATAGGGTTTTAAGGTGTTTTGCCAACCCCAAGACTGGTACCTCATCTCCACTCATGGTCCTTACAGCTCAGACCATCTGGCCCCAGAACAACCCCTAGCTCAGTTATTGAGGAAGAAAAGTCTCTTCCACACCTAAAAACTCTGCCTAACAAACTCAGTACTCTTCCCTCTGCCCAGCAATACTCACACCTAGAAGTGACAGCCTGTCATTCTTTAGCAAATATTGCCAAAATGCTGTCTCTGGGAGACACACAAGATAAGGACACTGGAGGAGGTAAGACTAGGGTGATTCTCCCCACTGCTTCCAAGGTTCATCCACAGGTTCTTCCCAGGGCCCGGGCTGCCGGCCCCTCTCTGCCATCGGCTCAGGCTGACTTGACTGCCAGACTCACCTTCCCAGATGCATTTTCTGGGTCCCATGGCAAGTCTGAAGGGAACCCAACCCTCCAGACCTGGAGACGACCATTCCTGTGTTTGCAGCAAACCCTCTCAGTCTGATTCAGGATATAACTGCAGTGAGCAGTGATGTGAGCCCCCCATGGCAGGCTTACACAGGCCGCCCACATCTGAAACCACGATGCAGAGCAGAGCAGCTGTCCCAAGTGGGCCTGACAGACGACTGCCACCACTAATAATAAACCTGGGAATTAGGAGGTGGGATGACCCTTCATTCCCCATAACACCCAAGGTTGCCAAACATGGACATTGGTGACCTGTCCATTGATTGGCAGATTGTCTGTTAGATTCATTCCGACAAACTCCCCTGGAGAGGGTGCTAAACACAAAAGTGATGCACTCTTAAAGAAAACAAATGATACAGGAAAAATATAAAAATGAGTCCACTTTATCTCACCCCAGAGCAAGCTTCTGAGAGAAGTTGGGCCAAATCCTTCCAAAGACGCGAAAACAAATGCACATGTTTGATGGACTCATACTGTGCTCAGCTTTGCAGACTCCTTGTTCCTCTGGCTATTTTCAAAATCCTTTAGGTCAGCAGATAAAAACCTGTTTTTTGCCTTTAATGGTAGTATGTGCCACGGTTCAATAATCCTACAGATGAACATTTGGATTGCTGCCACTATAAGCTATTTTTATTTTTTGAGGTATGACATATAACATTATGTTACTTTCTGGTGCATATATGCAACTTTCAACAAAGGCAGTGAACAATTCTGGTCATGGACCTTTAATAACCAGAATGAGTACCCGTGGACAAAGAATTTTAGGGATGGAACTGTGAGATTCAAAGTTCAGCACTTTAAAATACAGGTACTACCAAGTGGCACTCCAAGAACATACCACCATCTACTCCACCAGAAGTCACCAACAGCGTACGTTATCAGTCTTTTAAATCTTTGCCTATCTGATAGGCAAAGATATTTCAGTGTTGCTTTCATTTACACTTCACTGGTTATTAGTAAAGATATGCATCTTTTCATTTACTTATTGGCTGTGTGTTCTTTAGGGTACCAAATAAGGTCACATTTCAGGATGCATGTGTGTGTTCTGTGCATCAAAACATCTGGAGTAAGGTTTGGATACTCCAGAGCTACAGCTCTGGAGGCTGAGAACAACCAGGACCCACAGAGAGATGAAATCAAAAGTTCAAGCCCATGAAACAACTTAGGAATGGCGAGAAACATAAATCACACATCTATTTTTTGAGGGGGGGAAGGGGCAGGGAGCAAGAATCTTAAGCAGGCTCCCTGTCCAGTGAAGAGCGTCTGATGCTGAAACTAGAATTTACTACCTTAAGTCTCCCAGACCACACAACCCACAACACAACCACAAAGGGTGGAAAGGGAGGAAATCCTGAAGGGGTGGAGTGCACCAAATTCTACATCTAAACTCTACTTCCTAAAATAAAAACAAACAAACTTTACCAAAGTCTCTGGATGACTTCTGAACTACATATGTATAGGTCAACTCCAAGCAACCCAGCTAAGGTTAAACAACCTGAACAGAAGTTTGGGCTGCTGCCTATATCAGAGACAG